ACAGAAGCAGACTGCCTCATTTTTCTCTTGTGGAGCTGCTGGTGGGCTCAAACCACCAACTTTTTAGCAGGGATTTGGAAGCCACCAAAACAATAGTAATTTATTCATAAAACACAGAATTGTTTTGCACAACTGACACACCCAAAATGCTCTATTTCTCAAGCCTCTCATGAGCACTGTTGCAGCCTGTCATCAATCATAAACCTGAATTCAATTACAAACTAACTCAATATGCCATATGTGTTAAACATGATAGTTAAAATATATATACCAACAAAATGTTTTCAAGCAGAGATTAGAAAGACATTGATTTTAATAATATAAAGGTAGTTATATTTTTTGCAAAGTTATAATAAAACTGAATCAACCTACAGGGGAACAAAATATGACAGTAAAATCAATTCTGCAAAAAGAATTTTAGTACTAGTCATTGGTTTTGTTAGGCATTTCACTGCTAACCAGAAGGCTGGCAGTTCAAACCCACCAGCCACTACTCAGAAGGAAGATTGGGCAATCTACTTCTGTAGTTAGTTAATACTGCCTCAAAAACCCAAGAGTCGCTATGAGTTGGCTCTGGCTTGTAGACAGCGAGTTAGGGGATTTTTTGTTGTAACTAAGCCAAACCCACTGCCATCAATTTGACTGAGACTCACAGTGACCCCGGTTGAGTTTCCAAAGCTGTAAATCTTTACAGAAGTAGATTGCCTCATATTCCTCCTGCAGAGCAGTTGGTGGGTTTCAACCGCTGACCTCCTGGTTAGCAGCCAAATGTCTTACACACTACACCACCAGAGCTCAGACTGTAACTCCTAAACTTCACTGCCGTGGAGTCAGACCCAACTCATAGCGATCCCTCCTTGGATTTCCAAGGCGGTATCACTATAGAAGTAGACTTCTGAGAAGTGGCTGGTGGGTTTGAACCACCAGCCTTCTGTTAGCAGTCAAATCCCTTAGGCACTACACAAAATTTCATTGCACTTAACAATTTTTTTTAATTACTAAACGTATTTACTTCACTGTGAATAAATACAGTGTGAACAAAAGTAAAACAGTTTTAGGTGCAATAAATGAAGCACTTCAAATCTTTAAGGACAGGGACTACATCCCCAAATACAGTGTGAACAAAAAAGTAAAACAGTTTTAGGTGCAATAAATGAAACACTTCAAATCTTTAAGGACAGGGACCACATCCCCAAGAGGGCAAAAAAGAAGACCCTTTTTGGTATGTTACACCAAAACCAGCAAGTAAAATTTTTTTATATCATCCTAAGATTTTGAAAGTTTTATGTTTAATGATGGAAATGAAGAGGACATGAAACTTAAAGCCTTTAAACCTTTTTCGTTATCCTCTTTTTTTACTGGTACAGTAAAATGAAGACAGGAAGAAAATATAAATTCTAAAAAAGTATTTCTTGAGGACTTCCAGGTTTGGAGAGCAATGACAGTCTCCTGATTGGAAAACACCCTACCCATTGTCCCAAAAAAATCACTAAACACAACAGATAAAACAACTAAGGACAGAAACCTTCAGTATTCCTAGGAGACAGAGAATAGGCATCAGATTTCTCAAAGCAAACAGACAAACATACAAAGTATGTTTGTATAAGCAAAATAATATATTCAAGAAACTCAAAAAAGGAGCATGCCAACAATAAATAGAATACTGAGCCAAGCTGTCCTTCAAATATCAAGATCATAGAAAAATAATTCTGAATGTACCTGAACTCAGAGATATCTACACCCCTCTTGATGAATATGCTGGACAATATTCACCTTTTTAAAAAAAAAATCAATAAAATTTTATTGGAACACAACCACCTTCACCCATTATGTACAGTCTATGACTGCTTTCATGCTACAATGGCAAAGTTGTATGGTTGCAACAAAAGCCATCTGGCTCACAAATCCCAAAATATTTACTCCCTGGCCCTTTACAGAAGAGTTCCAGATCCCGTACTAGACTGATCAGTGAGCATTATTCATTAAAAAGAAGATGGGGAACCTCTGGAAAAGGACTAAAGTCAAATAGTTCATATATGTAATTGTAGGCTGAGACTAAAACAAGGGTAATGTTAATTTCCATTAAGAACATATGGGTTGTAATACTCCAAAGTAGATTTTATGCTAAAAAGCACTAAAGAAAATAAAGAACATTTTGTAATATTAAAAGTCACATTCTAGTTTTGGAATGGACAAAGAACATAGATATTGTACTTAAAAGATGTTGTCTGGAGTGATATTACCAAAAATGTCAAGTAGGGAATTCTAAAACTCCATCCCTCCATGAAAGCAACAAATAAGCTGGTAAAAAAATTTTCTGAGCCTTGGAATCAAAATTATAAAAACCAGAGGAATGTTTAACTAAGAAAAAAGCTGCTGTATTTTGGCAAGAGAGCACTATGATGTTTTAACTTATCTACTTACCATCCCCAACTCCCCAGCTCAACAGAAGCCCTAAAGATGGCAACCCACATTCCTAGTGTAAGTTGTTGTAACCAGAGGGAGCAACAGGGACTTCATTCTCAAAGAACTGTGGTTATGTTTTTTTGACCTGTCTGGTGGCTCCCTGAATGACTGGCTCAGGACTTGCCTTTATTTCTTTTGCCTCAGAGCTTCCCCAAAGCAGAAGCAGCTTGCCAGTGCACTTATCAACAACATTTATGGACCTATGTATTAGTCAAAGTCACCTGGGAAGAGGGATAAAAATCAAAACAAAGACAAAAAGAAATTTTGAATGCAGCAAGAGAAAAATGACTCATCACATAGGAAGAGCCACAATAAGATTAAGAGCAGATTTCTCATCAGAAACTATGGAAACCAAGAAGAAGATGAGATGACATATTTAAAGTGTTGGGAAAAAGAAAAGAAAAATAAAAACTGTCAACCAAGAATTCTCTATCTAACAAAACTATTATCCAAAAATGGTATTTTTACAAGGACCAAAAAAAAAAAAAACAGTCGCTGAGGTTGCTGCTTATGTATAACCAAACATCTTATGGGATTATCTCAGTTAATTGGCCAAATAACATGTTTAGTGTTTTTGTTCTACATCATAGTTTATTACGAAGTGCCTGGTATCTTAAATATTTCCAAAGACCATCCAATGCACAATTGGTCTCTATATGCCTGGAGTAAAAGAGGAAGAAAGAGAGTCAGGAATAGGAACAGAATATGGAATGTGTGCCTATTTGCTCCCATGAACAACTGCCTCCTTTGCCATGAGACCATAAAAACTGGATGGTGCCCAGCTACCACAGGAACATTTTGAGAAATGATTCTATACAAGAATCCTGATCAAAAGGGGGAAAATACAGAACAGAATTACGAATTCTAAAGGTTGAATGAACCACAAAACTACTGTCCTGAGATAATCTTTAAATGTTAAGCCAAAAATATCCTCTGGAGTCTTATTAAAACCAAGTAACAGTATACCTTAACTAGTAAAGAATATGTGCCTTAAGCATTATGCTCTTTTAAGAATTATTTATAAGGGATAAAATTGACAAAAGCAACTGAAAAGATTAGATAGGAAACTTAGAGGGCAATGAATTTATCTTAGTAGGGCAGGAGCAACTCAGAAAAGGAGGGTGAGAGCGGTTGTAAACCTCGAAGAATATCATCACTGTCACTGGTGCTTGTAGAAACTGTTCAGCAGGTATATGTTTTGCTGTGCCTATTCTCAACACCACCACCAAAGTGAGTAATTAAAAAAAAAAAAAAAAAAGAAGAAGAAGAAAAAATTAAGACATTCCCACATAAACAAAAACTAAGAAAGTTTATCACTAGAAGACACGCCCAAGAAGAAATGCTGAAGAAAATTATGGTGGTTAAGTTTGTGTGTCAACTTGGTTGGGCAGCTGGATATAGTTACTCCTCATGTTGAGATTGGTAATTAACTCCATGGTGGAGTCTATAGGAGCAGCTGACTAGCTACTTTGGGTATGTGATCTGCTTCCCATATACAAGAAACAGCTTTGGGAATGGTCTCTAGCTTATGGGCTGCTTGAACCCTGCATGTAGACATGTCACTGTTCAGCAGCCTGACGCTCTGCTGACCTTGAGACTTTCAATGGACTTGAATTGATGCCCTGCCTTGTGTTTTGGTAACATGGGGACTTGTGCCTTTTTACTTGTCAACCTTGATTTGTCAGTCTCAGCAGCCAGCAGCTTTCTGAGTAAAGAAAAGCCTTTAGCTCCAGTGGGCCAGGAGCTGGAAGCAGAGCTGAAGCCCAAGGTTGAGGGGCTTTCACCTAGCCCCTAGAGCCTGGCACTTTGAACTTGGACTTCTAGCCTCCTGAACTGTAAGAGAATAACTCCTGTCTGTTCAAGCCATCCCATTTGTACTATTTCTGTTAAGAGTGGTACTAGGTAACCAAAACAGAAATCCTTCAAGCTAAAATGAAAGGACACTAGTTTGTAACTTGAAACCATACAAAGAAATAAAGTACTGGTAAAGGTAGCTACATTAGTGAATATGAAAGCTGGTAATATTGTATTTTTGGTTTATAACTTTTCTCTCCACCCTCAATATGATTTAAAAGCCACATTACACAACAAAGATATGACTTCAGTTAAGAAAAAATTAAGAAAGTGAATATGAAAAAACTGGCATACAATAACTATAATTTATACAACCAAGTGAGAGCTCTCAAATTTTTATTCTAAATCAGTTATCTCTGATTTGTATTTCACATGCAAAAGATCCAGAATTGAGCTCAAATCCAAGTATTTAACAGGAAAGATCATAAGAGAGAAAGTCAAGACATCTGAGTTGTTATACTGTCACCTCTGCTAATATTTCTCAGTATCTGTTCCCAATGTCTCTAGGTCCTGAGTTCCCCATTTGTGAAATGGAAATAATATGACAATATTATAAGAACTTCTATAAATAAAAAAGAAAAAAATTCACTTTAAATCCTTGGTAAGTAAAGTAGCAGTTAAATCCAAAACAGTATCATTATTACTAGTTATCAGTATTCATAAGCAGTTTCATTATTTACCTGATGATGATGGATGTTTCTTATATAACATGAAAAATTCTGGTACAGCTGAAACTTGTCAACATCTTTCTCATTCACCTTTTTGGAGGATACTTTTGCAAGACAGGACTGGATACAAACATGTCTATTTTGGCACCTGTTCAGATATACAAATATTCAACAAACAGTAGTAATAATATGTACTTTAGTGAGGAAGCATCTCATATGGAAACAAGGACAGCAAAGGATGGTTAAGTCAATACCAAAACAGTTTTTTCTTTTTCAAATGCTGCTCCACTATGAATGTTATTGACCCACTATCAGGGAACCCAACTATTTGCCTATTCATGCTAGCATAGGTCCAATTGATCTATGTATATACAACCCAAATCCCCCATAAAATGCCTAAATGAGTTCAGATACCATTTGTAATAGTGTACAAGACCAAAACTATTTACAGGAAATCAAATGAGTTACTCTACCCTATATATCATCTTGTTCTAAGCACTGAGTTACACAGTCACAATTAATAAGCTAAAAAGAAGGGAAAAAAGGAGAACACATTAGACTCTTTTACAAGGTCAAGTTACAAAACTAGACTGAATTTCAGCAACAGATTTATTTATAAAAACATACTTTAGAAGATGGGTAATTCACCTACTTCAAGTTATTCCTGCTAGGGCCATTAAAAAAAAAAAAAAAGAAAAACAGAAGAAGTTATTTCCCTTCAATCTCTCCCTGACAAGCAACAGTAGTCACCTGGATCATCTCCGTCTTTCCTCTCCTCTGCACAGCTCACACAGCTAGTGATATAGAAAGAGAGAGAGGAAGAGCAGACCTGGACCAGAACCCTGTCTTCTCTTCTGCTACACCAAAAGGACAGAGCATATAAAAAAAATTTTGAAGTAATGTCTGTCTTTATTTTTTTTATATTATTATTATTATTTTTAATGATATATAAAATCCACAAGCCCAAGTGGGGTCTAGGTCAAAGAACTTTAATTTCTTATAAACTGGTACTATGAAACCATAGATGAGCAGCACTCCTGAACATTCAAACTACATTTTGAGGTCAGCATTTTCATCCATACCTGATACTACACATTCTCACATCAGTCATTGGTTAAAAAGTAGAAAAGAGCTATTATAAAATTAAGCACATACATCACAATATGTTTAAAGGTAATGCCACCCACTGTAAATGAACATTAATCTCTTTCTAGTATATATTATCTAATGCAGTCATTTTCAAACTCTGTTCATCAGAGCTCTCCACAGAGGTGCCTCAGTGTAAGCAGGATGAGTAGTCAGAGTTCCAGGCTCCCTGCCCAGAATTCAATTAAAGTAACTTTACTTTTATCTGTTTTACATATTAAAGTTCTGTTGCTTGAACAAAAAGTTCTGCTATTAATAAGGAGTCTGAAAAAAAATGGTTTTTAATGAACACTAGTGTTAGCACCAATGTGACCCTTAACAGCATGAGTCCAAAAAGCCGAAAACTCTATAAAAGAGTTACTCACAATTTCCTAATGAAGTCAAGTGTGTCTTTGTCTTTAGCAATCATGTCTGCTAAAATATGCTGCACTCCTGTTTCAATATCCTGAAGTGTTGAAAGTCCTTTAGGAAAAAAGTAAGAGGAAAAAGAAAAACTACAAGATAAGTTTTAAAGTCTATACATAAATCAAATAAACTTCTTCCAGTCAAAGTAAAATCTTAAATTGACAAACTGGAGACAGAAAGCTACCACAGCAATGACTAGTTCCACTCAGAATCAAAAATGAATCTCCAACAGCAATAAAATAGGCCCTTTACATCCTGCCTAACATAGTGGTGAAAAATGCAGCTCTGGAAAAAGCTGCCTTGTCTAATTCTGGTTCCACCATTCAGCAAATGTGTGACACCAGGGGGACATGACTTATCTGTACCTCAGTTTCCTATAAAAAGGGAATAATAACAGTTCCTTCATGGAGTAGTTACAAAGATTAACTGTACTATGGAAAATATGTGTTAACAGAATCATACCCCATAATACATCATTTCATCCCACTCACAAAAATTCTACTTTATAAGCATTTTTATTAATAATCCTACTTTGGCTAAGGAGGCAATTATTCACATTTTCAATGACCCTTTGAATTTCTCAAAACTCAAGAATAATCAAGTACTGCACAAAGTAAGACTCATGATACATCAGTCAACTTCACAACTGAACAGTTTGCGAACAGTACATTAACTCCTTTCCTACTACTTTGGGTTTGCTCATTTACAGTACTGAATCTTGGATATTACAGCTATGATACCTACTTACACAGTGAGAATCTTATATACAATGGCTGTGAAATATAGTTATAGCCCAAGTGCATTCATTTGCATTGTTTCCTTTCATTTCTTTAGTGTTTATTATTCTATTTGGTGTTTTCTTTTTGCATTAAAGGTTGAATTATACAAACACTGGGTATCATTTACAGGTAATCCCCGACTTACAACATATTCTATTTATGATGAACTACACTTGTGACCATTCTTTTTTTTTACATCTTATTATTAGTGATATGTAATGCACAAAATATTTCAATGTGTTATCTGCTGATGTTATCATTTTCAAACGTTCACATGAAGATAAACTATACAGATTTAGTTTTATAAACTAAATCAAAGGCTTCAGTTGTTTGAAAATTTGAACCCAAAAGCTGATAGCTTGCTGAAGTCAAATTAAAGGCAGATATGGGAGGTATCGAGATATTACTATGAAATATGTGAAGGAAAAGGACCATAAAGACAACTCTAAAAAATTCTATGACTAGAAACACCATCCTCATATTCAGGGATAATCCAGATAAACAGCAGTGAAACACTGGCTGACAGTACCAGAAGATGAACCCCTCAAGTGGGAAGGCATTCAAAATACGACCAAGGAAGAGCTGCCTCTTCAAAGTAGAGTCAACCTCAATGACATGCAAGGAAGAAAGCTTTGGGGACCTTCATTTGCTGATGGGATACAACTCAAAATGGAAAGAACCAGCTGCAAACACTCATTAATAATCAGAATATGGAATGTACAAAGCACAAACCTAGGATAACTGGAAGTAACAAAAATGATATGGAATGGATAACAATCAATATCCTAGGCATTAGTGAGCCTGAATGGACTGGTATCGGCCATTTTGACTCAGACAATGATATGGTCTACTATGCCAGGAAAGACAGATTGAAAAGGAATGGTATCATATTCATCATCAAAAAAGAACATTTCAAGATCTATCCTGAAGTCCAATGCAGTCAGTAATAGGCTAATAATATTCATACACCTATAAGCAAGACCAGTTACTACTACTATTATTCAAATTTACACAGCAACCACTAAAGCCAAAGATGAAGAAACTGAAGATTTTACCCACTTCTGCAGTCTGAAATTGACCAAATATGCAATCAAGATGTATTGTTTATTACTGGTGATTGGAATGCAAAACTGGAAACAAAAAGAAGCATCAGTAATTGGAAAATATGGCCTTGATGACAGAAATGAGGCTGGAGATAGAATGATAAAATTTGCAAGACCAATGAACTTGTTCCTTGCAAATACCTATATCAACAACATAAATGGCAACTATAAATGTGCATACTGCCAGATGGAATACCAGGAATCAAATCAACTACATCTGTACAAAGAGGCCATGGAAAACCTCAATAACATCAGTCAAAACAAGGCCAGGAGCTGACTGTGAAAAAGACTATCAATTACTCATACGTGAGTACAAGTTGACGCTGAAGAAAATTTTAAAAGTCTATGAGAGCCAATATTATCAAAATTGATAATATCCCTCCTGAATTCAGAGACCATCTAAAAAATAGATTTGACACTGAACACCCATGACCGAAGACCAGATGAGTTATAGGATGACATCAGGAAGATCATACATGAAGAAAGCAGAAGGTCATTAAAAAGACAAGAAAGGAAGAAAAGACCAAAACATATGTTAGAATAGACTCTGAAACTTGCTCTTGAACAGAGAGAAAACAAATGCAAGAAATGATGAAATAAAAGAGCTGAATGGAAAATTTTAAAGGGCAGCTCTTGACAGGACAAAGTAAAGTATTATAATGAAATGTTCAAAGACCTGGAGTTAGAAAACCAAAAGCAAAGAACACACTCGGCATTTCTCAAGCTGAAAGAACTGAAGAAAAAAAAGTGAAGCCTCCAGTTGCAAAATTGAAAGATTCTATGGGCAAAATATTGAAAAATGCAGGAAGCATCAAAAGAAGATAGAAGGAATACACAGAGTCACTATACCAAAAAGAACTGGTCAATGTTCAGCTATTTCAGGAGGCAGCATATGATCAAGAACCAATGGTACTGAAGAAGTCCAAGCTGCACTGAAGGAATTGGCAAAAACAAGGTCCCAGGAATCAACAGAATAAACGTTCAGATGTTTCAACAAAGTGACACAGCTGGAGGCACATATTTGCTTATACCAAGAAATTTAGAAGGCAGCCACTTGATCAACTGACTGGAAGGGATCCGTATTTGTGCCCATTCCAAAGAAAGGTGATCGAACAGAATGTGGAAATCATCGGACAGTATCATTAATATCATATGCAAGTAAAATTCTGCTGAAGATAATTCCAAGACGGTTGCAGCAGTATACACAAAGGTAACTTCCAGAAGTTCAGGCTGGATTCAGAAAACAACATGGAATGAAGGATAAAACTGCTGATATCAGATGGATTTTGGCTAAAAGAAAAGAATACCAGAAACGTGCTTACCTGTGTTTTATTGACTATGGAAGGGATCATAACAAATTATGAATGACATTGCAAAGAATGGGAATTCCAGAACATTTAACTATACTCAAGAGGAACCTATACACAGACCAAGAGGCTATCATTCAAACAGAACAAGGGGATACTGTGTCATTTAAAATCAGGAAGGATGTACATCAGCGTTGTATCCTTTCATCATACTTATTCAATCTGTATGCTGAGCAAATAATCTGAGAAGCTGGAGTAAATGAAGAAGAACATGACATCAGGATTGGAGGAAGACTCATTAACAACGTGAGATAGACAAGTCTGCTTGCTGAATGTGAGGACGACTTGAAGCTATTACTGATGAAGACTAAAGACTACAGTCTGCAGTATGGATTACACCTCAATAAAAAGAAAACAAAAATCCTCACAACTGGATCAATAAGCAGTATCACGATAAATGAAAAGACTGAAGTTGTCAGGGATTTCATTTTACTTGGATCCACAATCAACACCCATGTAAGCAACAGTCAAGAAATCAGATGTTGCAGTAGGCAAATCTACTGCAAAGACCTCTTTAAAGACCATCTTCAAAGATGTCACTTTGAAAACTAAAGTGCACCTAATCCAAGCCATGGCATTTTCAATCGCCTCATATGCACGGAAAAGCCGAACAATGAATAAGGAAAACAGAAGAGTCGATGCTTCTGAATTTTGTTGGCAAAGAATAATAAAAATGCCATGGACTGCCAGAAGGTCAAACATCTGTCCCAGATGAGGTACAGCCAGAATGCTCCTTAGAGGCAAGAATAGCAAGACTTTGTTTCAGCTACTTTGGTCATGTGATTAGAAGGGCCCTGGAAAAAGACATCATACTTGTAAAGTAGAGGATCAGAGAAAAATGGAAAGACTCTCAGGAGATGGACTGACACAGTGGCTGCAACGAGGAGGTCAAGTACAGCAAGGATTGTGAGGATGGGCAGTGTTTTGTTCTGTCATACAGAGTAGGGTCACAATGAGTCAGAACCAACTCGTTGGCGCCTAACAACAAAGTATGCATGCATGTATATATTAAGTTTGTATGTAATGTTTCCAACCCCTAAAGACAAATAAAGATCAGATTATAAAGATATTGACAAAAAAGAGGAATAATAATGAAAACTAAAAAAAGAGAGAGAAAGATGAATTCAACTTAAGGTCAGAACCAATTTACAACAGAGTTGTCAGAATGGAACCTCGTCAGAAGTAGCGGTCATCTGTATGTTTTTCTGTGATGACAGTATTAACAATTAATGAGTGAAAAAGCAAAAGAGAATAGGTGAACATCCTCATTATGGAAAAATTAAGAGAAAATGTATAACTGGATTGGTATATGCTAACCAATGCAAATTATTTAAGTAATTATTATTTTTAACATTTAAAGAAAAATTTGGCCATTAAGAAGATTTTACTATGAAGGAATTTTCAGAACAGTTTAAACTATCTTTGAGAGGTGCAAGTTTATACATGTAAAGCAATTAGGACAGTGTGACAAATAGTAAGCACAGTCAGTAAATGTTTGTTCTTGTGTTGGCTAACTCCCTAGATCAATCTTTATCTAAGAAAACCATCCAATGTGTACTAATTCTTGGTATAGCAAATACCAAATTTCTCAGAGTATCATTACAAAAAGTTTAATGAGAATACCAGGGTGATAGATAATTCAGTAGTAAAGACGGACTCCCACAACAGAGCAAGAGAATGAAAATAGAAAATTATACACTTTGCTGTAACAAAGGCCCTTTGAAAAGCCCCTCATTTCAGGAGAATACAATTTAGGAATTTTATGTAATTGAAATTATATACTACATCTTTAGAATGGTGTTTTTTAT